TTTTCCTCTAAGACTTGTCTAATGTGGGGTTTGGATGACCTCTGTACTCGTCCAGTTCAGCAGCAGGAGGGAAGCGCCTGCTGCGCAGGATAGCCGGGTGCAGACAAGGGGAGAGTCTGTGCCTAGCTGCCTGTGAGTGAAGTGGTGCGCCGGCAGGGAGGGGAGCTGAACTGAGCTGAATGTCAGAGTCACTGTAAGGGAACCAGCCGGGCTGGGCTGGGAAACAAATGGGAAGGCAGGGCAGGATAGAACCTCCCAGTGCCACCAAGCCATTAGACCACAGGCTTCTGAAACCTGCCTCATTATTACAGAGCAGTGGCTGGGACACTGTGAGTTGCAGAGCTGCCCTTGGGTCCTACAGGATGTGTGTTACAGCCTGAGCCTCCACATGCACCATTTCCTTTTGCAACATGCTTCTAGCACATCTCTATTTTCCTATGAAAATGCGAGAGAGGAAGGAGATCCTTAAGAGGCACTTCTAGGAAAGAAATGCTCTCTCTGCAGATGCAGATCTGTTAGGACCCTCTTTCTGATGGTGCGATCATTAGGTAGAGGCTAGAGACAATGATTTCCAAGTTTATGAGCTATACTGCATGCAAGAACTCATATACAGGGCACTACCTGTATTCCCCGAGCTCCAAGGAATATATCATAAGACTCCTCTTATCTGTTAAAATTATTTATTGGATATAGCTAACGACTGCAGTGGAATTATATTCACCCAGTTCTGCATACTCCACTCTTCTAAAGATCTGTGGTCAGCCAGCAGATTATTAAAAGCCATCTACATAAATCTGTTGGGGAAATGAGAAAGGAGCAAAGGTAGACAGACACAGAAAGAAAGCTAGACAGGAGAGCTGTGGCACCTATTTCACATAACATAAATACCTCAGCATGTATCAGCAGCTTTCCTTAATTATAAAAAGCTCAAAAAAGGGTGACCTTCATGCAATCCATAGGCTCATCTCCTATTGTAATATTGCCAAGATGATGTTCATCATGAAAAAAGGAAAAGAATTGCATTCGACCCAGTATAACATCACATTTATCACACTATATATTTCAGTGGTGTGATTCTTTATTCTCTATTAAATATTATCTCAAAAGTGTATCGAATAGATCTCAGTGAGTGCTCATTATATTATTAAACAAACCCTAAAAATCCTTGATTTTGATTGCTTGATATAATCAAATAAAAAACATCCAGATTAAGATTCCCCAGAGACGGGACAATTTGTCTTGATTAAAAAAAACAAAACCACAATAATTTACTATTACGGCAGCAGTAGAATTTCAGTAAACCCTATTGTTTTACATCCTTAGCACTGTCATATTGATGCTTTCTCCATTAGTCAAGGAGATCAAAGAAACCTGATGTCTCACAAGGGGTTTGAGCTACAGTGAAGAAAACTCTTAACTCCTGGTCAGTATTTGAACACTGTCCAAATCAGATGAACAAAATGTTGCTGTTCTCGGACTAGACGTGTATGAAGTGGGACTAATAGTCTCAGGAAATTAGGAATAAAGTAAAGAACCTTTTGCCTTGCATATGAGTTTGACTCATGCCCAGCTCTGTAGTGAATCTCTCAATTGTTCTGCAGAGTTTCATAATTTATTCTGTAGTCTCAACCCTTGTCTTAGCAGCACATACCTATAGTTCAAACCTATTATTATCACGTTATGCAATAGCAAGCGATATCAGTAGAGACCATGGAATAAGCATAGAAATTGAAATGTCCTGTTCTTCCTGAAATGGACTCTAAATGTCAGATGCCAGTCAGTACAGGGCAGTTTATGTTTGTTAGTTTATACTCTCTAGCTAGGCAATGAAGACATTTATCTTCAGTATTGTAATTCATTAGTTCTTTAAATTAATTAGAATCATTAAGGTTGGAAAAGACCCTTAAGATCATCGAGTCCAATTGAATGCATGTCCATAAAATAAACTTTTATATTAATTTTAATTTTAGGAAAACCATGTTAGACTTTTTTAAAACATATATATATTTATTCATCAAGCTGTAAGAAATATTTGGGCTGCTCATACCCAACTACACCAACAAACTTGGTAATTCTCACGTCAGAAAAGCACTTGTTAAATGAATGACTTCGGTTTCTCGTTCCTGAAGCTTTTTGTCTCAGACTTTGTCTATGCACGATGATTTTACTCTGAGGTTATCCTAGTGTTGCTGTGGCTGTTTCAGAAAAAGGCATCTGTGATTCCCCAGTGCAGTGGGCAGATAATCCACTGCCTCCTCTGCTGAAATCTGGAGCACTGCCCTGTGGGAAATCCTTGCTGTGTATTTTAAGTCTGCCACTGTGAACTTCAGGACGTGCAGCTCTTCTCAGAGAACTGTGGGATTACAGAACAAATCAGTATGTCCTGTCTCATAATTTACTCTTTTTTCTTAAGATGACACCAAACTGACAGCACACCATCTGATAGCAATCCACAATGGTAAACTTCCAGGGAAAAACTACAGAATGTTTCTCTACTGCTCTCATCTTGCTGTTTACACATTGCAGAGCTGTTATAGCTTACACACAATTCTTGGAAGGCATTTTTTTGTCATCCAAAGATTCTGAAGCTGCAGCAGATCATTCCAGATTGCCATCAGAGCTTAATCCTCCCACTCAGTGTTCACAGTACAGGCCCCAAATGGTTGTTTCACATGCATACTTGCTCAATGAATGCACATGGAAGCGGTCAGCTTCACTTACTTCCTCTCAGATCTTCACAAGTACACTATAAAATTGGCATTTTCCCCATACTAGAAACAGCTGATGAATGCAACACGTATGTTTCTAGAGGAAAAATGGCAGCAAGATGTAAAGTCATAAACGTAGATTGGAACATACAGATCTGTGGGGCTAAAATCTTACAGCTACCTAAAATCTCATCCTGAACACCATGTAGAAAATGCCAGAATAGACTGCAAAAATCCCCCTAATGTCATTTACCATATGGCAACTTGCCAGCAAAACCCAGGTTTGTATGGATGCAGTGACAAAGCAAACACAGGAGGACTCTGCCAAAACAGTTAATGTCAGGACTGGTGTATTTCCCGAACTTCTGCTAGCATGCTTTTCTTCTGTCAGTCAGGTCTTAATAACCTTTCCATAACCTTAAATTATAAATACCACATGCGGATTGTTAGTTCATACAGTTGGCATGGTGGCATGTAAGTCATTGGGCTTCATGCTGGAAGTGTAGGAGCAGGTTAGATAAACACCTATCAGGAACAGCGTGAGTATTCCCAGCTCTTTCACAGAAAATCCTTTCCATTCCTATTTTCTTGATGATTTGGTATAAACCAACTACTTGGCACGTCTATTGAACAATTATCTTTCCTATGTCTCAACTGGAGGTTGCATGAGACTGCTTCAATTCTCTGCACTGTAGACAAAGACTCTATTTAGGATCAGTAATAATTTTACAGTAAACTCCAAACTAGTACTAAATTTAAAATATTTGTTTACAGACTGTTGCAACTCCAGTAGCAACCAAGGTCTCACACTGGCTGATGTTTGATTCTTTTCAACTGTTCATCACATACACGTAAACAACCAAGAGCATTCACACTGTGGAAAGAAACCACAAATGTACAGAGGTAAGCGGTAAAGGTTCTGCAGCAGACCCTGCTCATGTCAACTGCACAGAGGACACATCTCATTATTCCTCTCAAAACTTGTTTTTATATTGCCTTAGAGACCGACATATGTCCTGCAGTCGCCAAATGTAAAAACTAGCTAAAAAATCCTTCTTCACTTTCACTAGTCCTGTTGGGTGGGAATAATGCACAGTGAGTTGTGTATTGAATCCTGCCTAAAAAGCTTAATGGGGATGAAGTACCCATCAGAAAGGATGCACAACAGGATCCCATGTGATGCACCCTGTCCTTGATCTTGATCTGAGATTTCAAAATTTGTACATTTTGCGTAGTACCTGGCTAATGATGTCAGTGTCTGAATATGAAAGTTTAGTATCTTCATTCAATTGGTTCAGAGCTATCGTGCTGCATTTCACCTGAGAACACTGTCATTTATGTACCTATATATTCTATATCTGTGTATTTGTACACATAAACATATGTACCCCTTCCCAAATATGCAGCTAACATATTTTGACTGAAAGAAGACAATAGACAGGGAGAAAATTCTCAAGTTCAAATACAATATGGAATTTTAAAAATGATCATACAATGCTAATCCTAAAATATTTCTTTCTATCTTGATTTTGGAAACAGGACTGAATCCATTAGTATTTGGACTGGAAAGGGAATAAACAGTTTCATTAAGGAGACATATTAGCTCCAACGATGTTTATTGGGGCAAGCTTGCACTCCGGCTGCATATGGTGTACCTTTAAATAGGGCTGTTAAAATACCAAATAAAATGTCAAAGTCCGTCAGGTCTGGAGCTTTTATAAATTGTTTAGACTGGGGATAATTTGGGTTTTGTACATCATGCCTTGCAGATCGCGCAGCCCGGAGATAGGAAAGGAAAGGGGGCCAGGGAGAGGCAGGCAGGGCAGCCAGCCTGGCGGAAAGGCACCTCCTGGGTCATCGCTCTCCTCACCAGCCGCCTCCTTCTTCCCCCTAGCCTGCATGCCTGCCGTTCGCCTCCCCTCTCTCTGGGTGGTATCCTGAGGTTACGCACATGGCTAAACAACCATATTAAAAAATAAAAAAAATTAAAAATCCACTTCAAAGGCAGTGCCACAGTCACTTGCCAGAGATGTGCACGCTATGAGTAACTTCACCTCAGGCCGTAGCAACCCTGCGCTGCAAGTACCCACCACCGCTTCAGCGATCGACGGCAAGACGGGCCCCAGTGAGGCCTGGAAGAGCCACCCGGGCTGCCACACCTTCGTGGCCGTCCTCCCGGCCCTCCTCCTGCCACCCTCCCCGGAGCAGAGCGGTTGAACAACGCCTCCCTCCAGCCCCCCCCTCGCCCTCCACCGCCCGGCTCTCCCACCCACCGCGCGGCCCGGACCTCACCTTCAGCTCCCGGGAGGCCACGCGGGCCGCCAGCTCGATGACACAGCCCACCGCCATGCGTGCCGCCCCGGCCGAGTGCAGCTCGTTCCAAACGGTGTCACTGTCCACCTGAGCAAACAGCCGGCCCCGGGAGGAAGGCAGGGGAGAGAGGGAGAGGGAGAGGGAGAGGGAGAGCATGAGAGAAAACAAACCCGTGAGGGAGGGCTGGCAGCGTGACAGCCCGTGTACAATAACATCAGTCTTCCGCCCTGGCCAGCTGAAAGGCCTTCTGGACATGGCTTTGCTTATGCTTTTTCTCTGCACGGGCTTCTCCAATGGAAACACATTCCTGTCATGCCTCGCTGCCATTCCCTGTTTAGATTTCTCATTACAAACAGTGTTACATCGGCCGGGCCGGGCCTGCTCGATGGCCGCCAGATGCCGTGCGCTGGGTCCTGACGCCGGCGGGGGGACGGGGCCCTGCCAGTGCTTGGACAAAGCGTCCGGTGGGGACCGCCACCGCTGGCTCCAGCAGCTGTCACAGGCAACCTGTGCCACCAAAACTCACCGGTAGCTCAGGTCATTACCCCTTTTTAAAAAAAAAATAGAGCAGTAAGCACTCGTGTTCCCTACCCAGGCAGGAGTAATTTTTAAGTGACTGAAATCAGAAAGATTAATTGTTTGGATTAATTTCAGTAGTCACTATTGCCATGGACAGAAAATGAAATTAAATAAAATAAAGTGCGACTCTTGCTGTACCTTCAGTTTTGATGAACTAATAAGTTTTGGCTGAAAGGCTTTAAGTCCCACTTTGTAACAGATGAACGTGGTTATTTAAAGCAGAGAAAATTATCTTTTGTGCCTTCTAAATGAGCAAGTGTGACACGTAAAACATTACATGAATATTATACAAAATATAAGGATAAAATATTATAAAGGAAATATTATAAAGACAGCTAAGCAGCACTGCTCTACAGCTTTAATCGGTATGCTAAAATTTTGCTTTTGAAATCTATTTTTAGTGACTATTTATTTGCAGAAACATACCAAAAAATATAGGTGAAATGTTGTATATCCCTTACATGCTATTATGCCAAGCAGACATGATGGTGTGAAATAGTCTGAAAAAGTCATCCAAAGAGACAGCCAGACTTCCTCGATGCTCCATGGGAAGTGCATTTAATTGTATCATACTGTACAAATTTATCATGAAAAGAAAAACGTTTAGGGATAGACAAAATACTGTGGCAGATGCTATTTGGATAACTTCCAAGCACACTGAGACATGTTTTCAGTTTGAATCAGAAGTTTCTGTTCCTAATTTCTTAAAAAAAAAAAAAGGAAAGGAAAAAAGAAGGAAAGAAAGAAAGAAATCAAGTAATTGAAAATGGATGCAACTGCTACTCGACTCTGGAGGTTCTGAGGAATTTCTCTGATTAGTCATTTGAAACAGAAAGAAGCTTGATCTTCTCTACACCTGTCAAATGTCTTCGCCATTACTGTTACAATAATATTATATTTCAAGCTAGTAAAGTGATCTTATTTTTCAGGGTACTGGACCTGAGTTTTCTATCATTTCGATCAGTTTTGAGTGCACGCAGCAGAACTAATGAAAATAGTTCGTATTCACAGTAGACCTGAATAAGAAGACTGGATTTTGCTTGCAAAGTTTAGAATAACAGTAATAACAGCACGCTGTGTTTTCATCTGAGAAACTCAAAATGTTGTACAAACACAATTAAGCATCATCAGCTTGATGCGGGATGATTTATCATATTTGTTTTGCAGATTGGTAGCTTGAGATTTAAAGAAATTAAGTAGCTTTCCCAAAGACGCACAGAAATCAATAGGTAACTAAGAAAATTGCAACAAGAAATAAAGAAACCAAGTAGTAAAAAAAAAAAAAAGACATATGTAACATTAGACAGAGCTTCAGGTTGCCTCTTTATTGCTTTAAAGCAACTGTGAATCAATTTTCATCTTTAAAACAAATAAGGAGATAAATAAGTTGAGGTCATTGGTTAAATCAATTTAATCAAACCATAATAAAGTTTGAAAAATACTGTGCAGTACTTTAAATAAAGAAATATCAGCAAGACAGCTGGGAGGGAGCACTTTCTTACCATTTTTATGGCTAGCAAATTAAGGTTAAGATGAAGGAGTGGCTGATGGAAATGATTCAATGGCAGCTGCTCGGTACACCAGGGCATGAGCAGGAGCCTGCATCCTCAAAGGGACTATGATTCATTTCCAGGAAGGCCGATTAAGTTAAAATTGTAACCACAGCTTGAGAGTACCCACCCTTCAAGACAGTTGTCTGCTCTGACACATGAGACGGCAGTCTCTCCAACCACCGAACGCTGAGTATTGCCCAGGATACGGCATTTATCATTTTCTGCTTTCAACTGAGTGTGAGGAGACTGAACTGGGACAATAAGACCAATTATCTTCCACTGAAAAATTTCCCTCAGACCACTTGAATGACTGCTACCTAATTTTACCTGGACTGGAAGTAAAAATGGGCAATCAGGAAACAAAACATCGTTTCCCAAGGAATTTTCAAAAATGATCACCTAAATGTACACAGGAAATTCAGGATATTTTAGCTGATCTCTTGGGCATGGTACATGTAACAAATGGTAAACTCTCAAAGCCAGGGGTAGCCAACTGAAGCTGCATACCTTAGTGCGCTGTTTTTATAACACAAGAAAACTAACATAAACATATGAATAATTACCCTGAAAAGGCATGGTATTATAAACTTAGATGTCAAATTCTATTTCATATTCATGCAAAATTATGACTGAATTTCTGAGGAACACCTCATGAAGAACAACCTAGAAAAACTTTCATCACGCAGCCGATGCTTTAGCTGTAATGACTGGAAAATGCCATCTCACTCCGTTTTGTAACTCTATTAGTTCTATGTATTGCCTTAAATGTTTCAGGTGTTTAAACAGAGATTTTCTTTTAGTGTTACTCAGTGTTTACTTTGTAAATTGCTGTTGAAATACAGTGATATAAATGGCAAACCCATTAAAATTACAGCTACTAGCTGGCCCAGTTGTCAAGCTGTATATGAAATGCAGCTATGTAAAATCCTACTAGATATGCTTTTCTTTATTCCTGTGAGATAAAATGGTTGGATTTTATACAAGTAAAAGGAATAGGATTAGACATTGTGGTTTCTCGTTCTAGTTCATGTATATATCACATATATCTGACAGTCTGTCTAGATGCTGAGTATGCATGAATTTGTGACAAATGTGATGCTTTCTGAATCACAGACTATGAAAAAGTCAGATGGAATTTTATAAGAGGTTATTTTTGTTCTGCAAGTGCTTTGGAGCAGCCGAAGAATTCAGTAAAAACCTATCTTGATTAGGAATTTTTTCAGAGAATGTTAAACAAAATTTACAGACAATACAGCATTTGTAGCTTAATTCTAACACAGAATCTTAGCCCCTTTTTTTCTGCTTAATTATATATACTATTTTCATTTAAATGTCCTTTAAAAAAATTGTCAGGGTAGGAAAATGTTCTAAATGTCTAACCAAATGAAAAAGAACATTTTTTAAAGCATCAAAATGTCAGCGTTAAACTATGAGCATACTACACATTTCATTATCAAAAATCCTATCACTGCTTCAGCTCTTCAAAGACGGATTGTGCACGATAGCGCCAAGAGCCAGAAAACACGAGCCCTATCTGAACACTGACTTTCTAACACACATATGGATTTACTTCACTCCAAGTTTCCTGAATGAGCACTGTAGGTTGTAGGCTTTTTCAAGCACATCTAGTATAGCTCAATCATTGGCATGTGTAGCAAAGCTAATACTCTGTAAAGCTACAGATGATAGAAATTAAGCTACCTGTCCCTGAAGTGGATGTGGAGGCATTAAAGAGGAAGGGAATGACTTAAGTGAAAAGAAATGTAGGTAGCTTTTCCTGACTGAATGCAACTAATGTTTCAAGCCCTGTGTGCAGAAATTCCCCGCTTTGCACTACAGAAAGAACTTGATATGAATGCTTCCTGCAAGAAATATCTATGTGATAACTTGACTTTCCAAATGAAGACTTTAAGCATACTGAAAACAAGCTAAGAAACAAGAAGTCTTGCAGCAGACACGTTTCAGCAGACAGAAAGCTTATACTGTAACCCCTCATGGCTGGAATATTTTGTGTTAAGGAAGACAGACTATAAAGTTTGAAAGTTACCAACTCCTTATACCGTGCTCAGGTTGTGGCACATGTATGTGCAGGTGGAGAGGAAGGATATGGAAATACATCTGAGAGAGAGATTGTTTACTTAAAGGCCTTTCTGAAATCACTGCAGTTGCTGAAACTGGAAATGTTACTTGTCCTGCTATTTGCATTTATCTGGAACCTACCTCAGAGAGGCAAAAAGGTAGCATGAATAACAATTCTAAAGCATTTTAAAAAGATATTTATAACTGCCTTTTGTTTTACCTGTCCCTTCCCCTGCTAGAGAACCTCTTCACTCCTCCTCTGTTTCAGTCCTCCTTCCTCCGGAAACCTCCTGGGATCTGCCTAATGGTCACTGGATCACAGTTCTGCTGACCAGAGATGCTGCTCACAGTCTGAAACATCCTTCCATTTTTCACACCCTGCATGGCGTATTAATCTGTGTGAGTTATTTCACTTTCTTAAATAATTACTGTAAATTCTGAAGTTGCCTTAAATACACATCCACTGATAACTATATGGCAATATAAAAGAGAGCCCAAGCTATTGCTTTGGGATGGATTCTGACAAAGCATCCTAGAGCTTACCCTCTCTCTCTCTCACACATACACACACACATGTACACACAATTTGCTATTTAACATAAATCCAGCTTCCACAGTGGAATTCTGATTTCACTCGTAAAGGGAATTAAAAATATACTGAATCTCTCATCCTGCTCTGGATTCTCTGCACAACTGTTGCCATCATAAAAATCAAAAACAGTCCTCCTAGAGTTACCACGTGTCCCTACCAGAGATACTCTACTTATTCTCTGAGAACAGTTAAAAAATGCAATCTGTCATCTACCTGTTCATGGAAATTTTGATCTGCAATCATCCTTTGATAGCAGTGATTGTATTCTATGTGTCCAATATCCT